CTGGCCAAGCAAAACACTGACATTACTTCTGAAGTTGTGTGCTTTGTTATACAAAGAATACCAAAATAAGGAGTTTCAGAGAATAACATAAATCAAGAAGTCCTCTTGGTACCATCAGAGTTAAAACCTGTAACTTTGGTATATAGTATTCTAAGTATTATCAAGCAGAGATGGTCAGATTTCAGTTTAATTGCTCCTTTTGTGAAAATGCATTATTAAATTAACTAAGTTGTCTTCTCAGTCCATAATACACTACTAATATTAAAATTATTGGTCCTTGCATTTGGAAGTCATTGTTTGGCAACAAAGTGGTTTTTACAATTAGCATATGCTAGCAGGCTTAATAAAACTCAAGGACTCCTAAGAGATTACAAAATTAAAATATTCTTTAATATGCTCAGAAATTACCACTATGCATGATCCTTTGACCCCAGTAAGAACTCGAGCAACTACTGACAGCACAAATCCCAAGTGAGCTAACTATGAAAAAATTCTCTTTTCTCTTGTCCAGCCAACCTATTTACTAACCAAGTTACCAGCAAGGGTCTTCATTTTACCTCACAGGCACATATATAAAAACCCACAGCACTCACCAACTAACACTGATTTGGTACTCCTTTCTCACACTCTACTTTGGAAACCACGCATCTTAAAGTCTTCAAGATCTGCACAAAGAAGTGATCATTATCAATTGTCAGGGAAGCTGTTGTGTAAGTGTGTGGGAACCCTGGCCTTATTCTGGGTTCACATGTAAGTGAAAAAGCTTCCTGAGCTCCCAGAGACTATACTGAGTGAAAAAGCCTGTTAAAATAACACTACCACCATTTCTAACAATTTACATAATCACAACCAAAAAAGGAAACCTGACTGTAGGGTAATTCAGGAACAGTAAAACTCAAATTTGCGTTATATCATTCAGGAAGAGGGCAGGTTAAATCAGTCACACATTTCAAGAAAGAAAACTGCTAAAAAATTATGACTGGAGCAGAGGCACAAGGCAAAGTTTATGTACAGTGGTTTTCCACATACGCAATACTTCATTTATATTACAAGGTAATTAATACAAGGCCCCCAGAGTTTCTCTCCTGCCTCTTTTAAACTGCTGTCTTCACCCTCACTTCTTTCCAGGCTTCCTTCACTTCTCTGTGTGTGTCCTTTCCATAAACAATGGCAGACTGCCACTCCGGTGGAACAGAGACCTTTCATGTCATTTCTTCCTACCTTAATTTTATCCATGTAGCAGTTTGTATGGTGACTGTAGGACCCCAAGTGGCATTTACCTTAACGTCTACAAGATGCACAAGCTTCCTTCTGCTTAAGAAAAAAAAATCTCCAAAATCACACAAATATTTTCTTCTGAGAATAAAAACCTTCAAGTATTCCCAGGATACACATTGAAGCACCCAGTGCAAAATTGCAAATATGACATCAAGAGGTAAAGTGATGAAAAAGGTATGCATCGAAAGAACACACCTGTTGTTCAAAGATAACAGACAATAAGACATAAAAATTCTGACTCTCCCAGCTCAAGAGAACTTCTCACCTGCTATGAACTGGGGTAGAAGATCTTCTCTTAGCAGTAGGGATGGGCATGGACATTCCCTTAGGGCCCAGGCAGCAAAAAAGACAGAAGTCCTCTACCTTCAGGCCACTCATTCTGACCTGCTTGTGCATTGCCAAGTGGTCATTCTACCTGCACCTACCAAAAAAAGCAAAGACAGAGACTGCAATATCAAAAGGCCAAACCCACCCTAAAAGCAGAAACCTGAACCCAAGTCAGTGGGAGAAAACCGGTTTCAACAATTCCTTATTTCTCATTATTCTCCATGTAGCAAGTTAATTTTTTTCTAGTTGATATCACATTGAATTTGGGCAAGATATGTATCTTTATATAGATTAAAGATCTGCACATACAGTTCATTCATTACTGGAAAGGGGAAAGCAGTAAGTATTCTGGCAGTTAAGAAGCACCAAACAGCCAAAATCCTCTTTTTCTAGGCATAATAGCCATTATTTTAGCTACATACAAACACAGAAGTAATAATTCTTTCCAGCATTCATAAATAGATTATTATAACACTTAACTTTAGATCAACATTGCTGTTCCTTATCAGAATGACCAACACCAAAGAAGGCTTCAAGCATCAGCTCACACAAAGTAACACCACTTCAGAAGGCTTCAAGCACCTGCAGCTCTTTATTGTGCCACAGCAGAACCTTTTATACCCTTCATCCCACATGCAGTGCCCCTGTGTGACCTCTGTTATCTTTGGAGGTTGCTCAGTGCACCTGGGCACTCATCTCTCATTACCTTCAATATCATTCACCTGTCCTGCACAGCTGAACCCACTGGGGATGGGGCTGGGCCACAGCCCCACTGCCAATTTCCACAAACTGTGTGCCTACAACAGTTCCCCTCTTTTTTCTCCAAAGAGAGGACAGTAATGAATGTGACCTGCACAGAAAAATACTAATTCATGCTCTGCTGACTAGAAGGAACTACACTGTCAGCAGGACAACTTCTCACAATTACAGTGTTTACTTGCCTCACTGAGACCAGAAGTCCATGTTCTGAATGCATGAAAAAAAAGTTATGGACAGTTCAGATACAAGACATAACACATGTAGAGCATGTACAAGCTGAATGTCTCCTTTACGTAAAAGACAGATGACACATACTCTAATTAAATGTTAGTCAAGGAGCATATTACAGGAGACCAAACATGAGAGATGGTAATCTTGATTACAGGTTGGTCAGAGACATCAAAGTAATAAATTGGCTCAGTGTTCCTAGAAAAAACTTTGTGAACTTTTAATGAGAAGATTACTATGTCCTGAATTCTTTCTCCATTGCTTGAGACCTTTTCTTCCCTTAAACAGCTCACACAATGTAGATACTTGATTCTTGTGCTCTGCTCTTACCAGTGCTGAAACGCCGATGAAGCGGAATAAAACATTACACAATGAAGATTAACTTTGCCTCATCAAACCCACTGGTGGTTTTAATTTTTCCTGGCCTGCCCAATCTGTACTCACTGAACTCCTCACTGGGTGTCAGCCCCAACTCCTTGCCCCTAAACATCTCCTTTCAGCCCAGGCACTGCCCCCTTCACAGCCTCCTCCTGTGCTAGATTAGCAGTATCCACCACACACCTTGAGCTATCCTTTCAGGATTCTATCCACACATATCTCCTCCAGAGCTTCTCTGAACTAACTTAGACCATCTCTTTCCTACCTCAGTCCTGCTCCACAGCAGTTTCCCTCAAACCTCCAAACACCACCACATCCTTCACAGTGTGCTAACACCCCCCTGACCCTTGTCCAAGAGCACAGAGCTGAGATATGCTTCAGGCTCAGAAGCGAACCCTTAGCCCTCCCCACCCTGTCAGCTCTGCTGCTCCACACCCTCCTCTCCCACCCCAGGTCCTCAAACAGCTCCATCAGGCTGTCCCTGCACGCCTCAGGCCTTTCCATGCCCAGCCACACCTCAATGCCTTTGACAATCCAACTCTAATGCCCTTGGGGCACAGTCCTCTTTGTTCCTCTCCCCCAAACAAAGTGCCCTTCCCTTCCTCTTTCTCCAGCCAGCTTCTGCAAAGCCCCAGAGATCCCGGACTCACTGAAACTCCATCCACTTTCCTGCCCCCTTGCTGTGAGGATCATGCCCCTGTTCTCTTGCCTCCACAGCCATGGCTCACATCCAGCACCCTGCACCCCCAACAGCTGGCTCCACAGCTGGTCTCCATCCCAGCCACTGACCTGCCTTCACTGCTCTACCTGCCAGGAAGTGCAGGGGGAGAAAGAAGGGAAGAAGGGAACAGGAACTGTCTTCCCAGAAACTGATCTCCAAACCTCAGATGAAGAATGACCTCTGATTACCCTGGATTTTGAGATCACCGAGCTGAACTTCTGGGTTATGGACTCCTGAACCAAGCCTGAACAGATACTTCCATCAAATAATAGGAAACATTGTATTGTCTTAATATCAACTACTCCACCGTAGTGATTATTTTCTAGGTTAAGCAGAGAAACAGCAAGCAAAAAGGGGATTGAAAACCTGTTACTATCTTGTTTTGTTGCAATGGTATGAACTACCTGTCTTCTCATCATTACAGACAACAGTTGCTTAAGGATGCTCAGAAAATGAGTGCTTAATGTAAAAAGAAATAAAATAGTTACCAATATTTGTTTAAAAGAAATACAGTGCAATAGTTCCCCCTACTGACGACACAAAATCACATTACTAATCGATGTTATTTCCTGGGTGGTCCTCAGATTACTAATTCTCTGTCCTGACGTGGTCCAGTTAAACTAACCAGCCTCCTATGCTTGCTGAACCCTAAACGACAGAGGGCAGGTCTGAGCAGAGACTTCGTCTTAAACTGCACCAGGGGGATGTTCAGGTTGAGTATCAGGAAGAATTTTTTTTCATGGAAAGGGCGGCTAAGCATTGGAATGTGGGAAGTAAGTGGTGGAGCCCAGGGAAGTGGTGGAGCCACCATTCCTGGAGGTGTTGAATAAACAGATTGACTGTGGGTCTCACGTTGATATGGTGATGCTTAGCCAAATGTTAGACTCGATGTTCTTGGAGGTGTGGTCCAACCTCGATCATTCTCGAGTCACAAGAGTTTGCAGAGTTTGTTCCGTGGCCCAACTCGTCCAAGAACTGCCCTTTGCCTTTTCACTGGCCTTCACCGAGCAGAGCTCGGCACACCGATGCCTCCACGGCTTTTGGGGGAGCAGCGGAACCCCGAGTTCCCAGGGATGCCCTTGGTCTCTCAGCCCTCTGTCCTGACAGCACGAACGGGAAAGAGTTCGGTATTTTTCATCTTCCTGAAGACAATCAACTTCCTCCACGCTCTGAGCTCGGCCCAGGTACCTGTGGCGCCGGGGCTCCGGCGATACAGAGCCGGCAGGGCCGTGCCGGCCCGGGGCTGACGCACAGGAAGGCGCCGGGGGCGGGCGCGGCCGCTTAAAGCCCGCGGGGCGGGGCAGCGGCGGGGCTCGGCCGGACCCGGCACAGGCGAGTGCGGCGGGCAGCGCTCCGAGCGCCGGGACGGGACGGGACGGGACGGGGTGGGGTGGGCTGGGATGGGACGGGACGGGATGGGATGGGATGGGACGGGATGGGATGGGACGGGATGGGATGGGATGGGATGGGATGGGACGCGCACCGACCCCCGGCACGGGCGGGGCCGATGGGAGCGGGCTCCAGGGCAAACTCGGCGGCCGGGAGAGCGCCTGGGCGGCCGAAAAGCGGAGCTGGTCTGCGCTGTCCGGAGTGCGGCTGGACACGGCTCCATCCCCGCAGCGGCTTACAGCGACAGGGCGGTTTGGGGTGGAAGGGATCTTAAAGATCATGTTCTAACGCCCTGCCGCGGGCAGGGACAGCTTGCATTAGAGACCAGGATGCTCAGAGCCCCATCCAACATGCCCTCCTGGGATGGGGAGTCCACATCTCTGAGCAATCTGTTCCCACCCTTACAGTAAAGAATTTTTTTCATGTCTAATCGCAGCCTACTCCCTTTCAATCTGAGTCTATTCCCCTCGTCCTCTCTTGTAGACAGTGTTGGCCCATCTTTCCTGAAAACTTTCTTTCAGTTCCCTTCAGGGGGCATTCACGATGAGCTACAACTGCCCGACCTTCCCAGCTGTCCCTGCAAAACCTTTTGCACAAAGGGAACGTGGGTTGTATGAGCATGTCACAAAAAATCCCAGGGACAAACGCCACCCGTGTGCTTTGCAACAGTTTATGCATGTGAGCATCCCTGCAACTTACATGGCAGGCCTAAGGGGGCTGCAGCTGGACAAAATCTTGCCTTTTTTTTTAACTTTAGATAAAAATATTAAATTTCCTCACTAATCTTATTAAGCTATCATAATCACCAGAATTCAGTAGCATTTACAATAAAAACTCCCACTGAAAGTGAACAGACTTTAAAATCTGTTTGTGGTAGAACTTTTTTTCCTTAGTGTGAGTTCAGAAAAAAGTTACAGTCAGATCCAGTGATTCTGGAGGTCCCTTCCAAATCTTAACAATTGTCAGATTTTAATCTATAAATTATTAATTCATTATGATTTGATTCCTTGTATGAATCACCAGAAATAAAGTTTGGGATTCTTTGTAACTGTCAATATAGCAACACAGACAGTGAAACACCCCTGTGCTTAACTCCTCCTCAGCAATTTAAAAAAAAAAACAAAGTAAATATTCAGGCAATATTTTTTCCTCTCAGAATGGAAGTAATAAAGATGAGGGAAATGTCACTGGGCACGTTTCCACTAATGTTATATACAGTGTTCTTTATACCACACACAGAATTATCCTATCAGCCTTTGTTGAGAACCTAAACCTGTCACTTTTACTTTTGTATGAGTAAGTGCTCAGGACTCCATTAAACATTCAGATAGTACTTTTGACTTTAAAAATGCAAAATGAAAGACAACAGCATTAAAATATGATATCTTTGTTTGAAACTGTTGACATTCTGAAACTACAATTCAGAACTGGAAATAGAAAAGCTACATATGAAAAGGTCAGCTTTCTACAAAAATGTCCATTTTGTTGAAATCTTGTCCTTTTCTTCACAAAAAGTTTCTATCAAAAATGTTCCATTGGATCCATAGTGTATTGACCCACTTCAGTCTTTAGCCCTGAATGTATTTTGTCTTCTGGTAAGATGAAATGGAAGAAAACCTCTGGTATGGGATCAGGGTGTTGGCAGAGCTCACTGATCTGAGCCCCAGGACTGAGATCCCAGGGCACATCAAATATAATTCTATGGCAATTAAAGTAGAGATGTGCTAGATTTAGGCTGTAAAGCAGTACTCTCCTAACAGAAAATATGGGGGTTTAGGAATAGCACAGTAACACACAACCATGATGACTTTAGGAAAAATTTGATTGGTATGAATTCACCAAGAAGAGAGCAAAATCATTGCTTTCCACTACCCTTCAATAAGAATAGTTCTACCTGGGTTTGAAAAGTACAATGCTAAACATCTTCTCTTGACGAGAGATGGTGTGTAAATTTTGCCACTTCAAAAGCATCATAAAGTATCTCAAAAAATTTACATAAAGGAAGGGAATTGACAGGGGACCTCATTCACATGTAAGAGCCAAAACTTCTTTAAGGTCCTTGCTCACTTTTCTCCCTCTTCCCTTTAACTGACTAAATTTACTCAAGTACCGCCTGTTTTGAAAGACATAGTAAAATGTCAAAGTATTTAAGAACTACAATGAAAATAACCAATTTATGCAGTTTGGATTAGTAATTCATATTCATTTTTTCAATTGCAAACATGTTTAATTCCTTTCTTTTTAGTATGTCCCAATGGAGTCAAGTTCAACAACTGGAAATAAAGTTTTTGGAGCAGGTAGACCAGTTCTACGATGATAACTTCCCCATGGAAATCCGTCACCTTCTAGCACAATGGATAGAAAGCCAGGACTGGTAGGATTTCATTCATTCTGTCTCCTATCACCAACAATTCTTTTGTTTGCTGGCAGGCTTTAGGATGCTTTCTTACAAACTGTGCAGGTATCTACACTCCAGTAATACTATTTCACAAGTTATGGATTTAGCCATTTAAACTTAGGGAATGCTGGGAGGTAAAGTTTCACATTTGAACTTACTCCTAAACAAAATCCAATAAAAATGGATTTAAAAAAAATAATGCAAGTTAATTTTCAATGGAAATGTTATACATTTACCTCTTGCAGCATAAAATTATTCTCTTGTCCAAAATTGCACTTTAAGCTGGATAATTCTGGGGAGCAAGCCAGCTGTTTACAGGAACTATTCTGTAGGAGGTCAATTTCTGCACAAATTTAGATTCAATTCATGTAAGCGTTACCTTAAGAAAATTCCAAACTAAATTAAAAAAAAAAAAAAAAAAAAAAAAAAAAAAAAATTACAAAAAAAAAAAAAAAAAAAAAAAAAAAAAAAAGTATTAGTCGTACCAGAAAGAGACATCTCAATTTTTCAAGCTAAATCCACAGTACTATTGTAGGACTACTGTGCAGCGGGGAGGAAAAATCTTCTAAGGAATAGAATCTTTCTTTACGGCATCTTTATGGGACTCTGGCAACACAGGTAACATTAAAATCTCCTTTTTGCCAGACATGGAGTTAGCAGGTGTATCTCAAACAAGCACCTGCTATCTGTGAGGCAAGGGGAGAGGCTATCCCAAGGACAAGGATGCCATGCTGTCCAAACTTTTTGCTCCTCAATTTTGCTCACTAATGCAATTGCCCTGCACATACCAGCTGTACCACAAACAGCAGAACCAATAAAGCCTGGCTTTGTCTGTGTCCTGTGTCCCCTACATACCCTTGACCAGTAGGCTCAGAGTCCTCCTGTATCCCCAAATAGTTTGGCTGGGGGAAGGCTCAGCTGCTGCCTGGTGGGAAGAGATGTATCTTCTGCCTGACCATCTGGCTGTTGCCTCCTGCAGCAAGTTATTGCTGCTGTTTCCCTCAGTGGAAACGCTAATTTGGATTCCTTTCTTCTACCAACCTGCCAGATTGCCATGAAATTTGTAAGAATGTTCTATCTTTTGGACTTCAAGGCTGTTGCCAACTTTGTCTGAAACTGGGCAGCAAATTCAGAAATCATATCTGTGTGGCTGAGTGAGAGGGACAGTTTGCATAAGCCCCATTTCCTCTGACAAGTGAGCTGGAAGTATTTAAATATTCACTGGACCAGAGACTAGAAAACCCTGGTTGTCTCCTCTGGCTGACTCTACTGTTTGTGCTAATACCTCACCCTCTTTTTATGCATATGTATAGGAATATTAAAAAAAAACCCACAAAATCATAAAAATCATTATTCACAAGCTCTAACTATATGCAAGTCACCATATAAAGTCTTTTTTTTTTTTTCTGCCTAAATTTCTGAATAGATAATAATTTTCTGTACTGCTAGATTGACACATAATACAGCATTTTAAACATGTATTGTTGTTCATTGACTCTTTAGGGAGGCTGCAGCCAACAATGAAGCAATGGCAATGATCCTTTTACAGAATTTGATAATACAGGTGGACGAACAGCTGGACCGGGTTTCGCAGGAGAAGAATCTGCTCTTGATCCACAACCTGAAAAGAGTCAGGAAGCTGCTGCAGGTGGGTCATTACTTCAAATGACAAATTGCACTGCACACTCTCACTGGTCTCTGGAGGCAGTGCTCGAGCTCTGTCGAGTGCAGTTTGTTCCAATGCCCAGCTCAGAGCTGCCCCAATTGCTGCAGACTCTGAGCAGCTATGGGAAAACTGAGCCTTCAACAAGATAATTCAAAATAACAATTCCCCTGTCTTCCTGTGGAACAGTAATTCCTGTTTCAATGCATACAGCTTGGATACAAATGCTGTGACTTCTTAGCTCTGTGCATATCTGTATTTCACTGAGCTCTTACAAATAACTGTACAGTGCTTATAGATGCTCATGTTTATTACAAATGTAATTACCACCTTTCAGACACCTACAGATATTTAACTATGGAATAAAATACATGCTTGGGGCTTAAGGCAAGACCATGGAAAAGGAACCTCTGTAAATCATTAGCATGCTTGCTGTTTCATGCTTTTCTGAGATTATTTGTCATGAATTACTTACAGGATTTACCGTTAGGCTTCTGCAAAATGATATTTATTTTGATTGGCTGAATGTTTCTCTAATAATTGTTTATCTAAGGCAAGAATTCTCAGAGTTCCACTTCATTAGTCACCTACTTCCTGACATCTATCTGTCTTCTGCATAAAGTAGATATGCCATGGAGTTTAATGAAAGTTTGGGGGTTTTTATTTTCTTTGATGGTGTTTTCCATAAGTACTTAAATGATAATTACATTGCTTGCCAAACATTTTCTTTATTTGAGACATATGTGCATACACACACACTGGCCTGGAAAATCCTAGCATGACTTCATCAATTATTTTCTCTTTATAGCTGTGTCTTTCTACTCTTTATCCCTAATGGTGGCCTCTTAAAAATATGACACTATTTCCATCACTGCTACTTTTTATGTTATGCAAGTGCCTCCTGTAATTTAAAAATAAAATCACTTTCTGTTTCTTTTCTGGTTTTTGGAGCAGCACTTTTCATAATTTCAGTACTCTTCAAACACCAAATTTACTCAACTGCAGAAATCCTACTGTTTCCATAATGATTTTGGCACATTTTACCACAAAGCTATATCACCTTAGTAAAGGATTCTTCCACAGGGGTAGATGTGGAAAGAGCATTTCAGGCCAAGCAGTTACACTGGTGTATTCCTGCCTTAAAAGACAATGCATTTATGATTTTACTATCACAATGTGCCCAGGCAGAAAGACTAGAACATAGTTCTAGTTCTACAGAATTAAAGAGCTCTACAAGCTCTACAAAATTAAAGCCTCTCATTGTTGTTCCTTTTACTCTTTGCCCCATTTATTTTATTCTAAGCATTTTACCAAAACTTGAAGCATCAGCTCTGTGTGCTCTGTCAAATTGGGCACACCAAGCCCAGCAACCAGGCCTTGGGTGAACTCATTTGAGTTCATGTAGTAATCAGTGTGAAAATGGCCTGAATGAGAACCCTTTCTTTCAAGTCCTGTCACACTTGGAAATTATATCATTATGTGCTTCAGGAAGAGCACAAAGCAAAGGAGGTTTATTCCAGAAAGGCAAGAGGAGGGGAGCTTCAAGTGATCCGTGATTAAATGCTTTCTCAGGTGCTGAGTCACAATTCCAGAACAAGCTAAAATGCTTAGGCATCCCCATTACAGCTGAACCCTGTTTTGAGCTCCTTGAGAGGACATGTGTGATGCTGGAATTATACTGCTTATAAAACAGGATCTCAATCTTGAGCATTGCAGTAGAATGTTTCTAGGTAAGGGAAAAAAAAAACCCAACAGCTCTCCCCATCACTAGTAATGTTGACCTTTCTTCATTGCATCAAGACAGCATATAATCTGAATTTGTTACAAAAAAAAAAAAAAGCTATCCATTCACTTTCAAAATACACCTGTAAGCCAGCAAAAACTGGATGGCACTTTCACTGTTGGAGCTTTTCCTGGTCTTGAACACTATCACCCACAGTCTATATTCCAGTCTCCAAAATAATTAGAATAGGCTGGAGTAGGACCAGGTTCTTGCAATGCTTGGTAACAACCTATTATTGGATAAGAAAAATAATTTATACTGTATTCAGAAGTCTCTAACACCAGAATTTTTGACTTTTGTGTCAAACACTTTGTTACAACTTATAAGGTATAGGCCGTAGAGGAAAAATGCATTTTCAGCCAAAGTATGGACTGTATGTTCTGTAAAGCTGCACAGGTAGTCTCCTGCTGCACCTGTTAAAATTATTTCTTTCACTGATTAGGTAAGTATATGAGTAAAGAAATGCTATAGTAGCTGAAATCAGCTGACAGCCTATCCTTGTTATCAATTGTCAAGTGTTATTAATGGACTGAATATGACACATAGCACGGACAGTATGTTCTGTAATGTTCTTAACTTTGAGTATACAAATTATCTAATTATGAGTCTAATCTTTTGTTAATGCATCACTGGTTGCATTTTATTGCTAAATACATGAGAAGATTGAAAATGGGCATTTGGCTTCCCACCCACAGCTGGAAGCCCTTGCAGATACCTAACTAGCAATCTGAGCTACTTTGTGACAGGTTCCTGAGACAGCACCAGAAAAATGTGACTGATGTAGAGAGCAGGATGCCGTGGTCCTTCTTGTCCCAGCCCATCACCTAGGGAACAGGAGGCTGGAATGCTGCTCTGTAAAACTAATGAGGTTTTTCAGTGACTGATGAAAGAAAGACTGGGTTCCTAAACAGGGGAGGAAGCTGCTTTTGTATTTCTGTAAACTTCTTTTCCTATTTGGTGACAATGTGAACAGTGTTGGTTTGACTTTCTCTGAAGGTTTCTTACCATGAGCCCACCTTTATCTCTGCTTCACTCTCTAGTGCAAGCGCTTCTTTGAAATTTCACAGTTCCCTCCTCTTCCTTCCCTTCTGAACCACACACAGATGCACAGACCCTTATGCATCGTGCACACACACAGAGCTGTCCAACCACAATATAAGATCTGAGTACAGTGTTTGTTCATTATTTTAAGCCAAGTTGTGTTACCCTATTGAGTAATACTTGACAAAATAGATAATGCTGGAAACCAGCACTTACCACTATGTACACAGCATAGTGTGCTGAGCTGTGGTAAAGGTTCCTCAATGCTATGACAATAGCAATAATAAAGAAGAATTCAATTAGAGAACACAAGAAAGCTATTCAAAAGCAGCCTGCAGTTCTTGACAAAACACAAATTGAGAGACTAACATTTAATCAGAAATACAACTGGATGGTTAGTGAAAGGCAGGAGAGGAAGCAATGCACACTTCCTAAGTGGCCTGTGCAGCTGTTTTCTAGACAGACAATGGCTCCTTAGGATCAAGACTCCTGGTGCTGTTACTGAGTCTGGAGAGCATTATCTCTAGGAGTCTCCAGCACCTCAGCCAAACACACCTCACCTAAAAGATTTCCCTGAGATTTCTGTTATAAAATTGAGCAAATTCTGACTGTTCACTGAAACATCTTCACATAAATATGTTAGTTATTCTGTGAAAATAAGAATGAAAATAGTGAAAGAAGAGAGAATTTGCCTGGCTCAGTTGCAGTACAAAGTTTTGGGCAACCTTGGGGGTTGTGAAGGGCAGAGAGCAGAAGTCCAAGCAGGAAGGTGGGTCTGTCTGGCCTCCCTGCTTTTAGAACACAGGGACCATCCCTATTCTCTCACCCTTAGAGAAATAACTAGGGAGTGTGGCATTCCTGCTTAGACTGCTTACATTTCCAAAATTATCTGCCGGCAAAAAGAAACACTGAACAGTGTTTCAGAAAATATGTAATTTGAAAATGTTATAAGCACTTGAAAATAGTGTTAAGAAACTTAGCTAAGCAGCTGTGGTCACTGCTAGCTCTCTGTAATTCACTTCTCTATTTCTTGCTTTCATTGAAACATCTCTTCTTGACATTAATCTGGTATAAATGCACATACTGTATTAAAATCAGGGTCAGCATTTTAGGTTAAAATCCTTCATATTTGCTTCCTACATTATTATTACTTCTCTAGTCAGTAAATTGGATACATTTTTATAGCAGAGCAGCCTTTTGTTGCTGTGCTCTTCAGTGGGAGACAGAACAGTACAGTCACTTTCTAAGGTTAAATTCTCTGTCCATCTTCCTAGAGAACTCCTGCTACCCCCCGCCCACCCCCCCACCCCCCCAGAAGTAGTCTTGGAAAGGGAAGAGGGAGAAATATTCAGAGACAGTGGGGGAAAGAGCAGGGAAGCTATGCTTATAGTTCTTTCTCTTTCTTAAAATCTAGATGGAGAAAAGCAAAGCAGATTAGTCACAAGGAGAGGGTTTGTGCTGTTGTTATGACAACAAAATGTAAAGGGCAGATGTTAAGCTTTGAAGAGCTGCCTAGCACTTCTAGGAACCAAATTGCAGATGTAGGAGTCTGCATGACCTTGGCCTGTGGACAACTACATCCCAGTTTTGAGAAGGAAGGTTTCTGTGTGACAGGTACACCTGTCCCTGATGTAAGCCCCCGTGGCATACACCAGTGCATTTAGTGCTCAGAGACTCGCATGGAAGACAGGCACTGTCCACATCCCTGACTCACATGCCAAAATTCTGGGCAGGGAGAGAGCAGCCAGGCTGCAGTGCAGCCGTGGAGCCAAGGGCAGGGGAGGCTCAGAGGAGCCTGGGAATCAGAGATGTGCAGTGTGCCCACGTGTCCCACCGCTCCATTGAGGAATGATGCTGGTGGGCAGCCGCCTGGTCAGCTCTGGGATGTCCTTCCCCCACACACACTCCGAGCTGGAAACTTGGAGCACTCCTCTTGCTAGACAAGAAGTAGCTCCATGGAATGCAGCCTGGCCCAAGCGTGGGTTCAGATGAGCCCTCAGGAGGAGCCACTATCTGCGCTGTGCTCTGTGACAGGTGCAGGACAGCCCCATCAGGACAAAAGCAGAAATTCCCAGAATCATCCTACTCATAACTGAAGCCCTTATTTATGCTCTGGTCTCAAGATAACTTCTGAAAGCAATCCCTTCTCATTAATGGCAAC